TAGAAAAAAGACAGAGAGTTGCCAGCAAATGAGGACCATAAATTATCAGTCAGCAATTAATTTGCAGTAAATGACTGTGTGTGTATGCTCTTAGTCCCTGGCAAAGAGAGGTGAAATGTATTAACGTAACAATGCAGTGGAAGTTGTTTGAGTGAAAATATTTCTCTTTACAGTTGCATTGGGCCGGGGACACAGACAGACTAATTTAGCACAGCTCAGGTGATAAGTTGTAAGTTGTAAAACCACAGTAACTGGATCACCTTTTATTTTGCCCTTACCTTTAGTAATGAGATACTTATTCATATGGGCTTTAAAAATACTGTTTTTATATTGCTGCAAGTACATGTGAAATTATATACATGTACAATGATGGCATATAAGGAGATTACACTTCTGTTTATTTCCATACTGGTGGATACTGGAAAACTTTTTTTTTGAGTCATGCAGGAAGCACTTAGTTGTTATTTCTGATACATGTTCTGTATGAAGTATCACTTTTAGGGTATGTGTTTACATACTTACAGAAATAGTTTGTGCGTAAACGTTGTATGGCTTGGAAAAAGTGGGGAGAGAAGGAAGATGCAATATACTGTTCAATTTGTACCATAAAAATAGTGATGGTTTGCCACATCAGTGCGCATTCTGAGGGTGCAGGTTTAGAGTGGCAGACAGCACTGATGAACATTAAGTTAAAACAGTGGGGATAGACTGCAATATTTTGGTATTTCACTAAGACACAAAAGTTAATCCCTTACTTTTCCAGAGTTTGCAAATGTTGGAGTTCCCAAATCAGCTGATCTATTACTAGAATATTTGTAATTGATAAGATAGGATTAGGTAGATATCATGTTAAGTTATTACTTAGTTTTAATTATATTGTCAATTTGGGAAAAATCAGGGGAATTTTGTTACTACCACCAACTTATATTGCAATAAAGCTTTTTCATGTGTTTCTGCTAACAATATGCCAATATTCAGCTTAGTGGTTTTTTTTGTTTGTTTTTAAATCTATTAATAAAATGTTTTAATTACTTTAAAAAGACCTCTCACAACAGGTAACTCAAAGGCTGACTGCTCGGGCTCAATTTCACGTTCACTCTTTAAAAAAACAGTTGTGTCTGAAGTTAAAATTTGTTTGCGTTTCTGTACAGAGGTCCAGCACAAGAAACCTCTGTTTTATGCTGCGTGCTTTCTAGAGCGAGGTGCCGAGTGTGTACCGTTGGATGGTGGCTGGCTCACTGGACATCTCTGTTTCTCTCCGAGCTTTGCCAGCAGTTCCAGCTGCTTTTCCTCTCTTCTTCGAATAGGGAGCGGAGGCCACTGTGGCTTTTCCTAAACAGTCGCTGCTTAGAAGTCCCTCTTGGACTTTGAACTTGGATTCCTGAAACGTTTATGAGTTAGACTGCAGAAGACCTTGTGCTTCTACGTGCTTTGTCGCACCCCACCACCACAGAATTTCAGTTAAACATTGAAACCAAGCAGCTAGCAGCACATCTTTTTTTTTCCTTTAGCTGTAAGCTGGATTCGTAAGTCTCCACTGGACGGTATCCCTGAAACAAAACAAAGTGAAAAAAACATTGCTCCTAACTTCAAAATGACTGACCCATTTTCCCTTATTGGGAGCTAAATTAAGTGTGAACAGAATCGATTTGCTGTTTTGTGCACAGAAGTGCTTTATCAGAAGATGAGGTGTGGTTTTGTCCATAAACGGGTGGAACAAAAGCTGTGGAAAAGTTTGGCTTTTTTTGAAAAAGGGTTGGGGTTAGGGGCAGATGACACCAAGCTCTGGAAAAACTTTTCTCCGGGGGGAATTTGCTTGAAAGAGATTGCTGTGAGAAACTGTAAGAGGAGGGCTTATACTGGAAGTTGAATCTCAGCTTCAGCTGTAGTAGATGCCTCTACTTCGACTATAAATAGAAAATACTTGCCTGCCAAATTTCAATTTTTAGAGCCCTTTTGAATTTGTGCCAAGGAAATAATATCTTAATTTGTATATCTGTTTATTTTCCTCCTTCTGTGCATAACTTGAAATGGCAACTCTTAATAGATTTTTTTAGATTAACAAAAGTTGCAAATGAACTTGAATATAATTTTTATGTGGGACTTAAAAAATAGCCCGTAGCTATTTTTTTTTTTCATGAGGCCACTCTCTCGTCCCTGAAATTGTTGTGCTTATAATTAAGGTTGCATCAGTTTTTCTTAGCTGCCAAACTAATGTTACCTGGTTTCGTACGTTGTAGGCTGCTGCGTGCATCAGTTTGTTGCCTTGGTGGCAGGTGTCCAAACACTGGATAAAATTAAAGAAATGTTTAAAAATATGCAGACAGGATATCAGCCAATGTAAAATGTTGAGGCAGGCAAGTGGTTGGCAAATGCAGGTATTTATTTATATCAAGTTAAAGGAGATAACGTTGAGTGAGCAACTCGCTCTCCCACAGGGATGATGTTCAAGCTGTGATCCTGCCCGTCAGGGGTGGTTCTTCGTTTCAGGAGGAAGGCTAGAGCCTTGTGGCTAACACCGCTGAGAAGTGAAGAAACAACATGCTGCTCGAAATCTGGGCTTGGCAGCAGGCTGTGCCTCCACCGTCCCGCTGGTAGCCCTCACCGCTGGGTGGTCAGCCCTCACCCATTTAGCGTGGATCGGGGCTGAGGAAGAGGAGGGCACGGGCGTGGGGCTGGATGCTGGTGGCCAGGTCATATGGTCGAACCATGCCGTGCTGTGGGTTGGAGCTCCTTGGTAGCACCACCAGTGAACACGACAGAGCCCCCTGCCCTGTCCTAGTGCAGATGGACTGGAGGTCTTAGCAGAGATCCCGCTGCCATGCCAGCTCAGGGCTGAAGCTGGCGCGTGGGGTGAAGCCCGTGCCAGCTCCCGGCACGCTGGCTCACCCTGGGCTGTCGTCTGACGGGTGCAGGGTACGTGATGTGAGTCACACGGGACAGTGGACGAGGAGAGGGACAGATGGAGCCTCAGGTGTCTGCAAGGAGACGTGCATGGGATTAAATGCTGAAACCCAGGCATGGTCATCTCGGCCCCAGCCTTGCTTCAGGAGTGACTGGTTTTGCTACTGGGGTGTTCTGTGTTGCTCCACATACCTGGAGGTGTTGCTGTTTTGGCTGGGCCCTGGGTCTGGCTGCTCATCTCAAACTTGGAGCAAGTGTGGGGTAAACAAACCGGGTGTCTTTGCCAAAGTGGGTGTGGAAGGAGAATAACTTTTTAATGAGGTGAGGCTGCTTGGGAGGAAAAGTCTTGCTGAAGTGGGACTACCTGTGAGTGCGTGATTCATACATGGAGAGATGGATGACTGCAGTTTAATGGTGGTGGCTGGGAAGATACGTGCTCCCTAAGTGATGCATGGATTTGGCATCAAATGAATCCTGAATTAAAATAATAATAACAATGCCTAGCCAGGTTTTTCCTCTCATCTGATGCATGAGGCTCCCTCCTGGAGGGTGGGTAATGCGTGCTGGAAGCCCGTTAATGCAGAGAAGGATTTCTGGTCTGTTAATTAAAAGCTGGTTGCTGCTGCTGCCAACAGCATCCTCCTCTCCTTTCCAATTTGATCTGTCAGAGAGGAGGAGGGAGCTGGCCCCTGGTACTCTGAGGGAAGGTTTTGGGCTGTCAGTCACTCTCAAATACGTGGCTAATCTGGGACTTTGTGGAGATGCCTGAGCTCCAAAAGCAAGACTGGGTTTCAGAGGCTTTCTTCTCCTCAGAGAAGAAAGCCTGGAGTCACGTCCCTGTGTCGTGTCTCGCTCCTCAGTTTGTAAACAAAGAATTACAGGTACTGATGGGATATCGGGAGAGAGCACGGTGAGGGGCTCTCTGCTTTGACCCTAGAGTTGGTTGGAAACTGAATTTCTATCCTAGAGAAAATTCCTCCTTTGGAAGGAGTTCTGCTGCAGTCGGAGGCAACAAAGAAAACCATGACTGCGTTTTGGGGAGGAGAAACGCTGAAGGGTCCTGTGCTGGGAGTACTGAATCACCATTTTTAGTTTCCTAGCTTTGCAGATGGAAGCTGTTGTCAGCTTTGCTTCCTCTGGAAGATGGGAATATTCCAGTGAAGCAGCTGCAGGCCCATCATTGCTGTTTTCCCGTGGAAAATGTTGATACTCTTAAAAGGGCATTTTCTATCAGAAAAGCATTCTGCCAGACATTTCCTGACCTGGCTTTGTACTGAACCTTTTGTCTCGCTTGCTCCATCTGGAACATGGGTGTGCTCATTTTTAACCACCTGTGTAAAACACTGAAGTTTGTGGATGGAGTTGTGACAACGTGGTCTCATTGAAGATTCAGTTCCTTTGAAAGATTCAGCTGCTTTCGTGGCAGTTCCCCGTGGAGCTAGTCCTATCTCTCACATAGGTAGAAACTTTTAAAATGCAAACATTAAACAAATACAGAGTATATTAATGTAAAATTACATGCATTTGTCTATTCCATCTGTGCAATGTCCAGACGGTCCCTTTATTTCAGTACTGCTTCTGTGTGTCCTGGGAAGATTACTTCTTGTCCCTCTTCAAGTCTGCTGAAGATCTGTAACTTTAACATTTGCTTTGCATAAATTAATCATGTTAACATATCAGGAGTATTTTTGAGTGTACTCCTAAACTGTGATGACAGATACTTTAGTTTGGGAATCTGTTTTGTTGTAGCTGTTGATAACAAAAGCACCCAGACAGGAGGAATGAGCTGTGCTTCTCGCCTCAGTTCTGTCGGTCTGTACTTAATTGACTGTAGTGGCTGTGGTATTTCTGTTCAGTCTTTGTTCGTCAAAAAAAGGGTGTGTTACATACTCTAATAAATCAAAAGCTTATTTGTGGTATGAAAAGGTACTGTCTTTGCAGCAGATGAAATAATTAGTATCACTTCAGTTTTAATGTATTCTGCATATGAGCCAAAGTTTCTAAAGATGACATGTTTATTCTGTAACTTTGCAGTTTGACAAATTTTGTTACTTTTAAACACATTCTTAAAGATTTTATGGTGGATGCTTTGGCAGGTTGACAGAGTTTGAAGATACACCAACAAGTCAGCTAACCATAGATGAGTTTATGAAGATTGACTTGGAAGAAGAATGTGATCCTCCTTCGTTTACAGCTGGTCAAAAAAAATTGAAGATACAGCAGGTGAATTCTAAATCAGATGCTCTCTGTATCTCTCTCCTCTCTTCTCCCCCTGTATATTCCTTTTTGAGTCAGTTAATACTAAATCCTAACTGATAAGCCTTGGATAAGGTTTAGTTACATTTATTTTCAGGTTCTTAAGAGAAGGGTGAGCATTAGTGCACGTGATACCCGTTAACTAAAGGATATTTTTCTGGTTTGCTGGCAAAGGATAGCTTCCCTGTTTAAAAAAAAAAAAAAAAATTACATATATATAAGCTTGTCTCCTATATAATTTTTGCTCGCTCCTCCAAAGAGGCGTGCTCTTTCAGATATGTAGCTTCAAATGTAGCTTTAAACATCCCCTGATGGGGGACTGAAGTATGTCTGCCGTCCCAGGCAGCCGCTGCGGGAAGTACAGAGTCCTGGCTCAGGTAGTGGGGATCAGGACGTCTGGGTGGCCGAGCGCAGGAGCACCAGCTGGGCTTTGGTGTTTTGTAGGATACCAGTGTTCAGTGCTCAGCCCATGACTGCTGTGTTGTGGGTGAGGGCTCAGCCCAGACGCTCCCCCGTTTGCAGGCTGATGCGCTGTTATCTCCTTCACGCTGGCTTTCCTGCTGCGTGCGCGTTTCCCTTCTTGTGCCCTGACCTTTTACCGAAGCAGCAGATCTTTTTGTCCTTAGAAAACTGGAGCCTCTCACGTGACAAGTTAAGCTGAGCTTGTGGCATGGAGGTATTGAGTAGCTGTCCTAGTGTCTGCACTTCTCTTTTATGTGCTGTATGCACTCTTCTGCCTTGATTAGCAAGGATCGGGGTTGCAAAGGCGTAAGCTTTCAAATTGCATCAGCAACCGTGCACTTTTCTTAAGGTGATAGCCATGGTCAGGAGAAAGTGCCATTACATACAACTTTTTTTTTCAAACACATGTGAAAACAATAACCCAGTTGCTTTAATGAGACTGCTGGGGGTCTGGTGTGGTACAGCACCTGCTTCCACAGAGATTAGTTCTCCTGGGGCTTAATTTCTTTACAAAGCATGAACTAAAGCTAGCACCAGAGGAGGAGATTTTACTGTTGTCATAGTTAAGTCTTACATTCTTAGTTTTTCAGGGTTTTTGTTTTTACTGTTCTAAACAGGCCAGCATTTAAAGGTCTGTAGGCATGTTTATGATCTTCTCAAGAGCGTGCCAGGTGCTGTAAGTCAGTCCTTCACTCTGCCATCACCTGCGTGCTACGTCTGGCCCGGGCACTGCCATTTCAGCGAAGTCCTTGCACTTGCTCACGTCTGCGGGCACAGTCATAGAGTCCGACTGCTGAAGAATGGGGCCTTTTATTTGCAGCTTGACAGAATGATGGTTCCTTTTGAAGTAGAGAGATGGGCGTGGTAACATTTGAAATTGGTCAGTATTTTGCAACTTGTCTGTCTTACCTGTCTGACACTATAAAGTAATTTGACTTGGGATTCGAAACCTGCTTATTGCTGTTAAAGTACACCTCAATTCTGTGTCTCTGTATGCAGTTCACAGACAGTAAAAAGTTGGGTTTCCTTAGTAATTTCACATTTATTTTGTTTATTTTCATTTCAGCTTGAGAAGGCGTTATCAAAAAAGCTGGAGGATTTTGAAGGTAAAAGTTGTGTTTAGTGTAACATGTCACTCATTTGTTCAAAATTACATCAATGATTGCTGAGTTTTTTTTATATTTCAACACCACAGGTGAAATATCGAGCTATCAAGATGAAATAGAAATTGAATTAGAAAACAGTAGACCGAGAGCAAAAGGTGTATTTGCGAATTTCACTAAAGATGGTAAGTCTATAAAGTCTTGTGACTAGTTAAATAGTAATGGGTACAGATCCTGCAGGCAGTCTTAAGTGTATGAACTTTATTGTCATAAAAGTGGTCATATATATGGTTGAGTAGTACAAGATCTCTCTTGTGTTGGGGTTCTCTCTGCCACTTAGCTGGTTCATGTATTAGCCTTCAAAACAACTACATTGCTCATTACAATGACAGTTCGTTAGTGATTTCAGTTGTTTCTCTTTGCTGGTGCAGTATGAGCTTGTCACAGGCACCTAAGAATGTTCCTTTTCATCACTGAAAGTGCAGTGGACCAGTATCTGGACCCTTCTGTTGCCGAATCCCTCAGTTGACTAAGCGATATGGAAGGGCTTTGTGTGGGTTGAACTGGCTATTTTTCATTTGTGATTGTACCAGTAAGTAGTTGGCTTCTCCTGCAAAGCCTTTTTACCTGCCGTAATTTGGTAACACAATACTTGTATTTTAAATGATGACTGTATTCACAAAAATACATTTTAATAGTCAAGGTAATGAGTTTGAAGAGCATTTGGAAACTCCATGCATTCATGCATTGTACTTAAAAGAATAAAAACCTTTAGAGAAAATTCGTAGAAGAAGTACACAGTATTTAAGTGAGTGCCTCTGTATTTATTTAGTTTCTGTAACAGATGGTGTGCAGTGATCTGCTGGGGGTTTTCTTCTGTTACAGATTCTATAGAAGATAATACCTCTAGTGTAGCTGGAGACGAGGAGGCAGAAGATGAGGAACTGGAAGCAGCCGCTAATCACTTAAACAAAAACTTTTATAATGAACTTCATGATAAGGATAGAGTAAAAAAAAACGGAGATGGAGAATGTGAAAATGGAAATGAAACGCTTGTAAGACCACCTGCACTGGAATCCTTGCTCGGCCCACTCCCCACTGCAGCTAGTCTTGGCATAACAGAGTCCATAAGAGAGTGCATATCCACTAAGGATCAAGAGCCTGGTAAGTAGGAGATCAGCTCAGAGTGGAAACTGGAGACGTGCAGCCTGTTTGGGTTCATTGTGCAATTTCCGTGTGTCTTGATGGTTACTGTGGTAGCGATTCTGTGAATCACTGTAATACCCAGGTACAGGAGCTGCGAGGCTGGATGGGACCAGTGGCCTTGGTTGTGGATGTTGGTTGTTGGTGCCTGCTCCTCAGGAAGCTGCAGGAAGATCTGAAGTGCCTGATTATATTCTGAAGCCTGAGAATGTGTATCTGTTAGTCAAGTAGATTTGCAGTCATATGATAGCTGATGGGCATATTTCAAGCCATGCAGCCTCAATTAGGAAACTGGAGGAAGCAGATTCCTGTAAATATGACTGGGAATTAAAACACAAGTATGAGAATTTTAGATCAAGGCAGACTTTCTCAGGAGACATTTTACGGGAGTCATACATGATGCAGTCTGTCTCTCTGAGAAGTTTTACAAATGGCAAATATTTAATGTGTTTGTAAGAGGAAATAACTAGTTTATGCTTTTTTGTTTGGTGTGTGTTTTGGTGGTTTTGCTCCATTTTTCTGAAAACCCCCAGATCTATCTCTAACATACAGCTTTGTGTAAGTACAGTAGACTGATCAACTAAGGAAGCCATTTGTGCCAGAGCCATTGAGGCAGACAGTACTGCAAATGGCCACTCGTCCGGGCAGGTTTGTTTGCTTGTTCTTATGTGTGCTTGAGCTTTATGGAGATGGCTTTTTTAAAATTCCTTTTGCATCTTTATGACATTGGGAATTTATCTAAAAGGCATTTTATTCTTTTTCTTTATTGCAGTTCATTTTTCTGTCATAAGACACACCTGTACAAATCTCGTTTGTCACCTTACTTGGGGGGTCGATGCAGCAGAACATTTTGTTCTGATGCTAATTTCTGTTCAACAGCACCTACTTATAATAAGGTACTCCCTGCCTCAACAGATGAACTGAATATGTTCAGATTCTTATTGTGGTAGTGTTTGCATCCCAGCAATGTAGCAGGATGATTGCACGTTTATATTTTGTGCAAACGAAAACATACAGAAACAGTTGAGTGGTTTTGGTTTTGTTTCAATTACGATTAAGAAAATGCATAGCTTATGGCTCATCTTTCTCTTGGAAATCAGTGGTTCATGTCGAAGAGAGGTCAGTAATGGCTAGAAGCTGTTCTTGTCTGGCTAGCCAGTGACCTGTAAAAATGAGTTCCCAGTGATGGACGCTTCTCGCTGGCACTGCTATTGACCGTTGTAATGGCCAGGCTGAGGACTGAGTTTAAAGCTGAAACAAAGCTGGTGTAGCCAGGTGCGATGCTCTGAGTCGGGCTTCAGGCAAGTGGGCAGGAGAGTGCATGGCTACTCATGCTGTGGCTTGTCTGCGTTTGCTGTTTGTTTTTCTTTCAGAAGTGGAGGATGTGCCAAATGAACTGAATTTCAAAATCAGATAGACTTCAGTATGTTCATTCTCTTTTAATGCCTCTAAGAAATCATTGTGGGTGTTTGAACAAGTACTTACTTTCTTAACATGTTGTGAAGCTCATAGGCCAAATTACTCTTTCGGTTTTGTTTTGATTGTAGATCCTGCACCAAAAATTTTTTTCTTTTTTCAGTGAATCTGCTAATTTATTTTTATAATTTAAAAGTTTTGTGTGGTCAGATTTGCTTTGGTTGTGTCTATACTGCGGGGTAGTTGTGCTGGGACGCGGTTCCCAGTCTCCGAGCCTTTGCCATGCGGTGCCTGCATGATGCGGGTGCATCACCCCCCTGAGGACCTGGAGCCTGGGTGGGTCTGGCAGATGGTCTGGGAGGTACACCTGGCTTGCAGTTGGCGTGCTATTATGCAGAACAAAGAAGACCTCTTTTTAAGATGCCTCCCAGTTGGTCACCTGTGCGTCTTAGCTCTGAACCCCGATGAAAACCAGTGCAGATGTTTCTGTCACCTCAGGCAATGATGTCTCAAGTTCTGCCTCACAGTTCTGGGAAATCTGTGAAAGGTTTGTACGCGGAGGTAGTATCTTCTTCTATCAGGCCAGCTGGTACAGCTGTAAAAATTAGACAATTCCCAGGTTTCTGAGCCCTTGTTTAAGTCTGAAAAAGAAGTGGCAGTTTTCAAAACTTACTATAGTCTGCGAGCAGTTGCTCAGAGTTTAATTAAAGATGGCACAATCGTAGATCATCTTGAAACAAAAGTAGTTGGTACCTGTGGAGGGAAGAGGAAAAGATAATATAATTTACCGCATTTATCTGGTGTATTTGAATTTAACTTACTGTAATTTATATTGTGAATCTCAGCTGGCCATATGTTTGCTATGGTATTTCATGTTTCAACACCTAAGTCCATTGGAGAAGGGAGAGTCATCATAACATTGCATCCCTAAAGTGACATTTTGGTCCTTCTCCACAGCTGTGTAAGTCATAAACCAGGAACCTTTGCCTTCCATCAGCCCTCTCCAGCCCTGAGTCATCTTCCACTATGTGGGCCACCTGGGTGAGGTTGGGCTGGAGACCGTAGCTGGAATAATCTTGTATCTGCTGGGCTCCATGTGTTGTCAGATGGGTTAATCGTGTCCGGTCAGTGCAGCGGTCGGAAACAGCATGCCTGGTGCTGCGTGGTGAGGATTCCCAGCAAACCCTCGTGGGGATGCACTGCGTGGTTGGGCAGGTGGCTATTAAATAGGAGCTCAGCAAGCAGGTGCAGTATGTGTGCAATGTTTGACCTCCTTACATGCAGGGTATCTCCTCTCCTCTCCGTGATGATCTCCTTTCCTCAAAAAAACCCTCTGCTGTAGGTACCTTCTACAAAATCTTTACATTAGGCTTGTGCATGTGGTAATTCAGTTCATAATTGCTTACATCAGCTGCTTTGGGAAATCTTCCACCTTTGTGCTATGGTGGCTGCAGCAGCAGCAGAAGGTTTCTCACAAACTACTTATGCAGATAAGACTTCAGTGCAGAGCCCAGGTATTAAGAAAAATTTAGTGTATTTTTGCTCTGCTTACAATTGGTATTTGAGCAGTGTGAGTTTGTCTATATGAATGTTTTATGGAAAGCATAGTATTTTAGCAAATTTGCATTACAAAGAGAACATGTATGGTACTGGGTTAATGAGTCTGAGGCAGTGAAGTGCTCAGAATAAACCCTACATTTGACTATGTTTTTTCCTACAAAGTGTATTAATTTGCAGAGACATTTAAGCTGAAATCTGTTTGAGTCTTTGCAAACTGCTTCTTTCTTATTCTTCATGACAAAAGTGCTTTGTAGTGAGATCTTGGTTTCAGAGATGGGGATGGGGTACACCAGTCTGTCCATTTTCCTGGCCGTGCAGCATCCACCCCAGCACCCTCTCCACGCTCTACGTGTTTCTGATTCTGCAGTTCCTCAAAACAGGGCACCGTTTCCTTCAGCAGACTGCCACAGTCAAATACCATGGACTTCGTTCTCTAGAAATCACATTCTTCAGTGTCAAATTTCCCTTTGCAATTTATTTTTATGTCCCTTTTATATCAATTCAAATAACTTATCATCTTTCTTGGCGTTTCTGTCCTTCTGATGTTTGCTGGCTGCCGCCCCGTCCTTCCCATGTCATGTTGCTGGGCTGCACGCTGCCAGTTCATCTCTGCTTGCCACATAAATCAGAAGTGGTAAACTTAATTCTGGCCAAGGCTAAAAGTGAGGAAGGTCTGATAATAACAGAGATAAAGGGTGTAAGTTACCGACTGACTTTATGCAACTTTCCTTTCATAATCTAGGTAGTGTTTGAGACCTGGTTTAGTTTTTGTTTTGAATCAAAATTCACATGCAGCCATTTAGGGCAGTAGTTTCAAAGGAGGCAGGTGAAGTGAGTGGTAACATGCTCCTGCATGTCCTCACGAAAGTGAGCGGCTTTTACAGTGAGAAATCACCGTGCATGTACCATCTTGTGCTTGGTTAGGCAGCCAGCTAACTGCCTTCGCTGCTAATTTCACAAAGAATACATGAGAAAGGTTTTGTGCTTGTCCATAATTAATAGTTTGCTCATTTATTGCTCCTTGTATTTATGCCTCCATTACTGCTGCCAGCATAATCTGACATGAGCTGAGGTCGAAAAATGTTGCCATTGATTTCTGTGGGTGTTAAAGACCCCATGCAGGCTGTGTTCATCGATCGAATAGTCGTCATCCCGATGTACCAGTGCTTTCCAACATCTTACCCAAGGAGGATGTGCAAAGTGGCTAAAGGGGAAGCCAGACGAGACAGGGGTGGGCTCCTCCTCCAGCAACTTACTCTTTTCCTCTGAATTTCATCCCCTCCAGCTGCCAGCTCCCGCCTCGTACTTCGTCCTGACCCTGAGGCTTGCCCGATCCCTCCGTGGGCAGACTCGGCTCCCTCACCCAGCGAGGAAAAGCACACGTGTGCGTGATCCTCATTTTGTTTGGGCAGTGGCAGACAGGCAGTGCCAGCGGCGCTGTGGGTGGGGGAGTTCGCAGAAACGTGATGATTCTAGCAGGGTCTCGGCTTCCCTGGAAGGATGCTTCAGGGCCCGCAGGCTGCAGACGGTTGGCAATTTTGTTCCCTTCTGTGGGCTGGTTTCTTCTCCTAGCATCCTCCTTTCTTCCTCAGATTTTGTCTGAGTAGATCAGTGCCAACTGTTTGAAAATATACAAGGGTATACATGCATAGAAAAGTATACAAAAAGATATAATCAGTAATTAGAGAGAACATTATGAAGCCCTATTAAATCATAATTACCGCATGCGCGAGAAGTAAAGCTGCTGAGTTTAGCGCTAATTGTGTTACATATGCAAAGTACACTTGGCCATCAGTGCAAGCATGTGTGTCCCCATCCTGATCACTCTTCTTCTGGCTCTGGCTTCAACAGTGTGGTTGCTTTTGTGGGTTTAAGCCCCACCAGTGGAAATGAGCGGTGTGCGTGACCTACTCGGTGCCACCTTCCTCGTGCCGTGCCCTCCGAGCACTTTTGAGAGTTTGATCGTTGTCTCCGTCTGCCGTTTG